GGAATGTCAGGGTGAAGATGAGCATATCAAGTTCCCAGCAGACTCGTTCAGAGTAAAGTTTGGAGTGCTGGCGTGCACATAGCAAGCAATTACATTAGTTCTTTTAAACATCCAGGCACACTCTGTTAATGTGAAAAAGTAGTCAAGAGAGCCCGAGCCATGGGAGCCTCATTATCTGTCGAGAGCAGAAAAACTCATGTTCATACATGAGAAAATTCTATGGACCACAGTGTCTGTTTAGGTTTGTGCATGCTGTTTTCAGCCTTACAATCAAGCTGGTTTTGTAACATTATAGTAATTTTTTGAGCAGTGTGCTGTGGTGGTTGGAGCACCAAAGCAAACCAGATCTGATGGAGGCTCTGTTTGTTGGGCTGTCAGAAAATCCATAGTGCTCAGCCCCAGGGTCCTGAACATCTCCTGGCCTTTGGAAGTGCAGGGAAGTTCCTGTCCTATTTAGTATTATGCATTAGCAATGTATAAAAGTCTAAAATTTTAATAATCTAATCATAAGAAAATTGCTGTGCCCAAGTTGGATGGATTATTGCATCCAACTCCACAGTGCACCATCCAACATCCAAACCCTGCGTCAAGAGCATTCTCCATACATTCCTTGAACTCCCACTGCCCTGTGCATCCCATTCCATGCCCACCGCCCTGTGGTGCAGACCCTTTCCCTGACCCCCAGCTCCCTCCCCTGACGCAGCTCCATGCCGTTCCCCCGGGCCCTGTGGCTGTCACACAGAGCAGAGCTCAGCGCTGCCCTCCGCTCCCTGTCAGGAGCTGCAGATGCCAGCAGGACTCCCCTCAGCTCCTCTGCTCTGAGCACACCCAGGGATTGCAGCTGCTCCTCATATGTTTTGCCCTCAGAACCCTCCACCATCTCTGTGTCCCTTGAAGTCCTGCATGCCCTGCATGCACCTCTGTGTATGACTACATCTGTATGTGCCATCAGTTGTAAGATTTCAGACATGGCAAATTTAACTTACTGGGTCAGTAATATTTAAAAGTGAAAGCCTCAGAAGCATTTTGGCTTTAGGGTTTCAAAGAGAGCTTGTGGTTTCAACAGTAGCATGTGTACAACTTTGGTTTTGGTTTGGCATTAAGGAATTTAGGCCTGAACAGCAGCTAGAAATGCAGATGGCTATCAAATATGTGGAATTTTCACATCCCAAAAAAAGTTTAAGAGAGCAAAGAAACACGAAACAAAATAAAGATACCAACTTGTAAAACTTTCGGCTATGGCTCAGTTCTGCAACCAAGAATTAACTGTTCAGAATGATGCAGCCATCTTGTACCAATAGCTACTGACCAACAGATAGACATTGCATTCTATCACAGAAAATGCTACAGTTAGCTCACAAAATTAGTGAGACTCTTGAGAGTACTGCCACCTCCTCCCCTGCCCCTAGCATATGCATAGGCTGGGGAAAGCCCCACAATCTCCACCTTCCCAAACACCTGACTGTACTCAAAATCAAAGTGTTTTGCCAGAGCCCTTCACTGTGAATGTAAAATAGAAGTAGACAGGAACTTCAGGCTCAGAAGGATAGGAAAAAGAGCCACTGCAAATTGGCATGTGTACATTTTGCTTTTTTGTTAGGGAATGTGCTAAGCATGGGCCGTTCTCCTGCCAAGGACAGCGTGCAGCCTGGTGCTCAATGAAGGCTGCAGCAATGCACCTCCTGCTCTCCGACCTTGTTCTGTGAATGGTGCTTACTTCCCTGCCCACATTCCCAAGCAGTACCACTCACAGGCAAGGACAGCCCCACACCTCAGAGATGCAAAGTGAACATTTTATTGAACTCAAGTTGATGCAGAACAGAAGGGCAACAATGGCTCAAATGTTCATTGACAGAATGCCCCAAGATGTTTCACGCACAGAGTTTTAATACAGTTTGCATGGAAACAATTGAAAAAAGTCTTACAGTACTCTGAACCAGAAAGGGAAGTCACAGCCCTGTTGTAAGCCTTCATGTTCCCTTCACGTAAGGGAGGGCTGCCCTCCTTAAATAATTCCACAACCTTCCCCAGAAGAAGGCTACGGAACTTCTGGCCATATCCCTTTCCCTTCAGGTATACAGAGTAGAGCAAAACTTCTGAGAAGAATCATAGTTTAAAGTAGCCATAAAGTCTTCACATGAATCACCATTAACATATCCAGAAAGACTGGTTGTAACAACACTATTTAAGGAAAGCTAACAAATGAACAAGGTTACAATATCAACACATTAACCCAACTTGTTTAAAACTTATTGAAGCGACTTTGCTTCCAATACTTACGTACATGTTTTACAAAACGCTTTCAAATATTTTTACTTTTTGATTAGTGACAAGATCAAACGAAGACTTGGAAGCAGTCAACAGTGATCTGCTTCCTATGATGGTTTAGAGCATAGCTACTATTTCAAAAAAGTTTTCTTTGGGCATCGTTTTCCCCCTACAAACCATAACAAGATGGGAAACCAGTCCTCATAACTTGTGATTTTTTTTTTTTCCAGACAGCTGGAGAGGGCTGATGCCCCCTCATGTCTCGATGCTGTTTGAAACCGCAGTGAGATCCAGCTTCCTTTCAGGAGAAGGAACATCTGCCCCTCTCCATCAGTCATTTGCTCCAGACCTGTTGTAGTGTATCCCCAGCCAACATGCCGCCATCTGCAGTGCTTGCTCCTCCGAGCAAGCAGGACACTTGTATGGGGCAGGGCAATAAAGTCACAGGCCTAGAGTCAGTGGGTTCTTCCACATCTGCCAAACAGGAATGGCAGCTCAAGGGCAACAAGAGATACGTATTGCAAAATAGTGCCGTAAATTTACATAGGCTGTTTGGTATACTTGCAAGGCTTAAGAAATGCTTGATGCAAATGAGCAAAACCTTCAATTAAGGTCTTTACAGTAGCTTGTCAGATCTCATGGTGATGCACAGTGGTGGACCTCTCAAGTAGCATTAACCTCCAGCTGCAACAGATACACAGGTAGTAAACCAGAAGATGCATGCAAATACGAGTCAATCTTTTCACATAAAAGGAGGATAAAAATTTGTTAACTACACTAATCTCATTTACATAGTTGGTAGTACAACAAATAGTAACAACACATTTGGACAGCTGTACACCAGTACTGAATGTCTCACAATGGCAGCTGAAGTAAGATCTGTACAAACAGCTTAGATGAAGAGCACTGCACTGACAAAACAGTATAAGAAGCTTTCCATTGTTTTAATCTCAGAAGACACTTCGTTGAAAGTTAGGTTGAAATCCAGCCATCCAGTGCAGATGCAACACAGATAAAAGCTCCTGCACTTAGACCTAGGCACTACTGTCCGCGTGCCTTAGTATTTGAGCCCAGATGAACGTTGCTCTTACTGTTAAGCAAGAGGTCATCCCTTCACATTGCCATTTGAAATGTGGAGGTTAAGCCAAGGGATCCAAAATCAGCTTGGCCTCAAATATATCATACAAGTCATGCAACAGAAAGGAATGCCTCTGCATGCTATTTCATCTTCATAACTACAAGATGTCTGAACTCACAAATTCAAGGCAAAAATTCAAATTCCCATTTCCTTGAATGCATATTTTCAAACATTTTCTGGTTTACAATCATATACGACAGTTTGGATTAGTTTTTCTTCGTTGTTGTTTTTTGTTGGTGTTTTTTTGTTGTTGCTGTTGTTGTGTTTTTTTTGTTTTGTTTTGTTTTTATTTTTTTGTTTGTTTTTTTTTGTGTTTTTTTTTGCTTTTTTTTTTTTTTTTTTTTTTTTAATGCTGGAGATAAAGTTTATTAGAGATACTACCACTATTTTGGCAAACATTCCAAAATCATATTTGTAAACATAGTGCTTCCCTTTTAAATTGGCTGCATTTTGAAAAGACAAACAAAAGACAAAGTAAGATTTTGCTCTATTTCGACCAGATAACCCGTGTTTTCACATGACAAAGCAAGCTATGATTTAAATCAAAATAAAATAAAAACTGCATGAAATGAAAATTTGTGCTGTTTTGTGATCACAGTATTTCATAGTTAAATACATCTGTTCTTTGTTATATTCCTGGCACCCAGGACAGAAATTTTTAAATATACATTTCATGTAGGCAATAGGCTTCTTTGCATAACTCTCTTCAAAAAATACTTTATAGCAGTATATAAATAGGTAGCCTACATGTTTAGTTTTATAATCTTGCCCAAAACTATATATCTGTTTAATTTTTTGTAAAGTATCAATTTTACCAACATTAATAAAGCTGACAAACTATTGAAATGGAAATGCTCTCATCTTCCACAATAGAAGTAGCAATTTTATAGGAAAAAAACCTAGAGGAACACTCGTCAGTTGTTTTAACCTGAGCGATGTCTGGCCTACTTAGAGTAGTTGGAGTAGCAGCTTTTTTTCTTTTTTTTTTTCCCCTCCTCATCATGCATGCTCACACCCACACATTTTTGCATACACACAGAACAGTCACACAGAACAGACACACACTTTCAGACTGGTAGGCCATGTAGTGCTTCCCAGGTGTTTCAGCAAGGCGGGAAGCAGTGTAGCTAATAGTTTAACTACACTAAATACACACAAGCAAACACCTTAAGGCAACCATTGCAATGGGGGGTTTAAGTTGCAGTGATGAGTTTCTCTAGTAATAAAGACGGGCTGTATATAGACTTATATACAACACCTTTTTAACCCTCCAAAACAATGTTTTTGTTTTTTGTTTTTTTTTTGTGGGTTTTTTTTTGTGCAAATTTCTAAACCTTCTACCATTTAAGGCAAAGAGTTTGCATTAACAAGAAAGGTCAGAAAAATAGCCTTATATTTATCCAAAAGTATTTCACTTCGCTATACTATTTTCTTAAAATGTGCACAACTTCACAGTAGGTGTACTGGGTCCCAGCACCTACTGATAAAATGATTTAAATGGACAAACATAAGTCTTGAAGAAAAAAAGGGACCAGAGAAAGCAGCTTCAAATATGCATATAAACAACATCAACAACAGAAGTAGTCAACTCAAGTATACTAATACTGAAAAACTTTTGTAATGCAAAAGTTCAATCTTAGAATCTTAGAGCAACTCATATGGAACTTTAAATAAATACGTTTCCATTCATTCACATGTGCTGGTCCAAGCTTAAGACTAGTGCTGTAACTCTGATTGCTGTTGGTCAAATTCACCTATCAGTCTCTTAATGTGAGACAGCTTGTTATGGAGATATTCACATCTGTGTTTCTCTTCACGGTAGTTGGGACTAGACTGTAAAGATAAAAAGAAAATTAGGGCATGAAAATATCTGAAGTTTAGTATTTCCTGTCCTTTGCTTAAAAATGGCCATAAGCCCATTCCAACAGTTTATAACTCCCACAGACCTCGTGCTACACATACCTGTTGTATCTTTCGATACTCTTCTAGGACTTCCTCATGAAGCATCTTAAAAAAAAAAATTGAAACGTGAAAACAATATGAAGAACATTTCATTACTAGAAAATACAACCAAATAAAGCATTAAAATGATGTTTTACTCAAGATACTTTCTTATCCAAGAGTCATCACTCTTCTGAGTCACAAAAAAACACAGACTAACAAACACAGAACACAGCCCAGATCTGCAATTAAATCTGTAAACAAACAACAGGAAGAAAATGCGTTTGAAGATTCCCTTTGTGAAGTCATTCATGCCACTGTAAAATACTTGCTTTCACAGAGAGCTCACTTGGGTGGAGTCTTCAAATAAGGGCTAAATGACTTGTTACACGGTTTTGCGAAGCCACAGAAGTCAAGAGTTAGCCAATGTAGGGTCAGACCACGTACGTGAGTTCTGTAAAGCTTTTCTCCTTTGTCTGATTGAGCAGTACCAGGGATTTTAAAATACTCCCTGTGCTCACAAATGCATTTGCAATCTGTGCAAAAATTCGTAAAAGTTAGCCAGATGCTACCAAACATCCTCAACACACACAAAGAATTTAAGAATTCCAGTACTGAGCAATTGGAATTTGCATGTCCAAATAATGTCAACCCAGGCTTGAAAGCTGGAATGCAAAGTTTTTAATACCCTTCTTTGCTAAAATTTACAGTTAGAGGCCAAATAAGTTTGTGACTGCACATCTTGTTAAATATACAAAATAAACTTGGCCCCTTTAAACAATGGGAAATAGCAGGTCAGCAAAGCCTGGGGATTATGGTCCTTTGGTTCTTCTCCTTTCTCATCAATGCAGCAGTACTCTTTTACTTCACAGGATGCTGTGAGGCGGTCAGTAAAACTACAGCCAATCTGGTAGCTCCTAACATACAACTAGTTACTTGGTCTCCCTTGGACACTTTAAAATCATGTCAACGTAATTTACTAGATTACAAAACTGAAGCATCTGCCTATGCTGAAAATACAGAACTCTGTAGGGCTTAAAAGATGGAAAAAGGACACAATCTTCATGGTTTTACTCTTCATTACCTGATATTCCTTGGACCCTGGAGAAAGCTGCTTTCGCTGTTCATCAAGCTTCATGAATTTTCTGGTAATGCTCTCCATTCGAGCATGCAAACTCCTGTATTCATCGTACTCTGCATTGAAGTCATCCTTATAACGCTGGCGTTGCTCATATGAGACTATAGCTATGTATTTTCTAGTAGAAAACACAAATGCATATTCAATCTTATACAAAAGACATTTCATGGTATCAAACAGATGCAGTGAGGGACCGGTTAACTGCTGAACTCTGCCCTGCCTTACCTCCTCTGCAAGGAAAGTGCTAACTGTTCTGAAGGTTAGGAACTAATTACTTTGTCTTTATCCAGAGACACCAACAGGGGCCCAAGCACTTCAGCAGGAGCTATGAGCAACAAACTGATTATGTGACAAAATCTAATCAAAAGATTCTCAAAACAGAACTTCAGCTTCAGAGAAGAGCAAGGTCTCATAGAGACATAAACAAAAGACTGGAGCTAACATATGCCTGCCCCGTGCTGGAAGCCCTGCTGAGCATGACAATGAGGGAAGTTGATTTGTGAACTCAGGACTGCTGTTATAATTTGACCAATCATGTCTGAACACAAATGGAATGGAATAGTTTGGTTTGGAAAGGACCTCCAAAGATCATCTTGTCCAACTGCCTGACCACTTCAAGGCTAACCAAAAGTTAGAGCATGTTATTCTGGGTATTATCCAAATGCCTCAAACACCGTGAGGCAGGGGCATCCACCACCTCTCTAGGAAGCCTGTTACAGAGTTTGACCAGCCTCTTGGTAATGTCCTAACGTCCAGTCTGAACCTTTCCTTGGCATCTTTGTGCCATTCCCATCAGATACAAGGAACACGGCCCAGTGCCTTCCTCTGCTTCCCCTCCTCAGAGGGTGGCAGAGAGCAACGACGTTACCTTCTGGCCTTCTCTGGAATAAACAACCCAATTGCCTTCAGTCTCTTCCCACAACATACACCTTCCAGTCCTGGTAGCAGCTTTGTTGGTCTCCTCTGGATGTTTCTGAGAACCTGCACATCCTTTTTAGATTGTGGAGCTGAGAACTGCAAACAGTATCAAGGTGAGGCTGCTCCAGTGCTAAGGCTTTCCTGCCACTTGTATCCCAGACTGTCCCAGACAAGGTGAGAAACCTTCCTTTGTTGAACTTCATGCCATTGATGACTACCCCATCCCCTACAACCTTTTGAACTCTTCTGTTGAGACAGTTCATCATGCAGTGCAGTCCAACTGTTTATCTCACAGTTGGACTGCTCCAAAGGCTTTACTTGAAATATAGGAAGATTATATCTACTGCCTTCTCTCCACTCACCAAGGAGGTGACCTTATCAGAGAAGGAGATCAAATTATTACAGCAGGACTTTCCCTTCGTGAGCCCACACTGACTGTGACTGATAATAGCTTTGTTCATTAACTGACTTCCTGTATCCCCCAGGACAGTCTTCTCTGTAATTTCTCCAGGGACTGAGGTTAGATTTACAGGTCTGTAGTTTCCTGGCTCCTCTCCTATGCTCTTTTTGTAGATCGCTGTGATGCTGGCTAGTCTCCAAGCTTAGGCTAGTCAGCAGAGACCTCCCCAGACTCTCACAACCTTCAGAAGATGGTTGAGAGAAGTGCAGTACTAATGTTTGTAAGTCCTTCAGCACTCTGAAGGTGAATCTCACCTGGTCCATGGATTTATGAACACTGAGCTGCTGCAACTGTTACTGTACAATTTTAGTGACCATAGATGGAAAGTCATTGATAGTCCAGTCACGATCCTCCATGTCAGAGGATCAGGCAGACAAAAATCTGCCATTATTAAAAACTGAGGCAAAAAGGTCATTAAAACCTTTCACCTTTTCTTAAGCCTTTTTGTTGATGACTTGTTGGTCACCTGTATCAACTGTCAGTACAGTGTTTTCCTTTGATCCCCCTTTGCTGTTCATATATTTGAAAAAGCCCTTTTTTGTTGTCCAACACCACAGCGACCAGCACTAATTCAAGTTGAGCTTTTGCTTTTCCTGTTTTCTCCCTGCTGCAGATGTAACTGAAGCTCTGTACTCTCCCCATAAATCCTGACTTTGCTGCTTGATATTTTATGTTTTCTGCCCTAATTCTATGAGGGCTTCTCTGTTTAGCCAGGCCTGTCTTCTGCTCTATTTGCTTGCCTTGCAGCAGAATGGAACTGAGTGATTCTGGACTTTCCAGAGTTGATTCTAGGGAAGTGACCAGCATTCATGGAGAGACTCTACAGGGCAAATTACTAGAGGACAATGCTAACTAGCTGCCTGAGTAGCTTCAGGTTTGCTTTCTTAAAATAGAGAGTGTTGACTTTTTTCTCCTTATGCCAAAAATTATGAAGTCAACTATTTCATTATCACTATGTCAGAGACAGCTCCCTACACTCACCTCTCTCTATTCTCAACCAACAGATCCGGGAGGTTGCCCTTCCAAGTTTACTCACTAAATATTTGTGATAGGAAATTATCTTCAACATGCTTTAGTGTTATACTAATGAATTATGTAGTACTTGGAGGCAGAAAGAAGAGCTAAAATAAATTACCAAAATCCTTTAAACTGGATCAACCCGCAGGTTTGTTCAAGCATTCAATCTTTTCCTCAAAACAAGGCAGATGCCTGAAGCAGCTCTATGTAACTTATTTCCAGTAAGCTATAGCTAACAGGTAGATTATCTGTACAATTATTTGAAAGGTTGCTCCTTTCACAAAGAATTCTCCATTGCAGTGTTTACATCCAATCAGAACACAAACAACTTGATGAAATCTTACACTATCTTTTTCCCTTTTTAGCAAAGCTTAGAGACACCCAACTGAAATATCAGACTACATAAAAAAGTTGTATATCTCTCTATGTGAGGACAAAAGATTTCAAGACACCTTAGAAAGCTCAGTATCACTGCCTTCAGCTTACATGGGAAGCAGACGTCAAAGAGCTGAATCTATTTTAACCCAGGAAAGGTTTGGAATTAAACACAGGTTTGAACTCTCAGCCCAACGCTTCAAGCACTAAACTAGAGCTCTGCAAAACAAGATTTACTCTGTCTGCCCACACCATATCACTGCAATAAAAATGCAGAAGCTACTTTTCTATTTTATAGGGTAAAGGATAATCCTTCTAACTGAACAATAATTTTATTATTCTAAAAAAAAAAAAAAACAAAAACAAAAAAAAACCCTAAAAAAAAACCAACCACAAACCCCAACATTTAGCAAACTATTGATTCTGCTATTACACCATTCCAAATCCAGTTTCTTAACGCCTGTCTTACTGCAATGAGGTATGAAAAATTTCTGTGTATGGCAGGTAAATTTTAACCTTTGGGCATGTTAATATGATGTGTAACTATCTGTTAAGAAGCTAAAATTAAGCTTAACTGGGTATTCTTTCTTCAATCGTAAAGAGTGTAATATCCCAATCACTACAGATATGCAACATTTCATATATGAGTTTAGCACATTCGTACCTATTTCACAGCTATATAAAATTAAAATTTGAATTGAAGTTTCTTTCTTATCTCTTGGTCTTCGGTCTATGATTCTGTTGTGAATTCGGTTGTTTTGCTATAGCTTCCAATTATCAGTGGTCATTTACATCATCTTTAGAAATAACTTTGATGGTTAACTCCTGCTAGTTCATATATATACACTATGTAATACTGGACTTTAAATTTTGCTAATTTTCCTTCACCACCTTCCCAACTTAGATGTAGTAAGCAGTGAAAACAAGAAACTTTGCATACTCAGTATTTTGGCTTTCAGCCTTCCTTTCTTCTAAAAAGAAAGCAGCATACACTCTCAGGTCTTTTTATTTTGGTCTTCAAGAAGAATGAAATTAAATGTGTTTGTTTTTTTCTTTTTAAATCTGCCAAAGCATATTAAAAATTGTTCTTAACATTTTTTTTTCCCTCAAAATAATTAAAGGACAAGCTCATATCTCAAAACTTAAGGTTACTTAAGTAAGACAACCGGTTAACTTAAAATGTAATTTTAGAGTAATGGCAAGCTCCTTTATAGGAAATTGCCATTATGAATGAATTTGTTGTTATTCTCCAAGTACGTTTTGGTGGTTCTTCAATTTTGTAAATAAACTAGATTTTTTACAGGTGATTTTTCAGTTGCTTCAATAAGCAACAAGAGATTTTAAATTATTACTTTACTCACTTGATGTAGTCTGGTAGTTCATTTGTTGATGAAGGAGAATCTGTGGAGGCAGTGCACGTTTTTTCAACTCCTATAGAAAAGCAGAAGTTTTGACACTTGTGATAAACAGATTTTTAATATGGCTAAACAATAAGAACCTAAGGGGCTTGAAAAAAAATCCTATAGAGTTCTATTCTGACCATAAATTACTGCAAACAAGCTGCGTATATTAACAAGGCTCACATGACCTTCTCCACAGTACACAGTACCGCAGCTTAAAAAGAGGGAACGGCTAGTTTATTTCTCAGGTTCAGCATGACCAAAGCATTAATCAGAGGTCAACTTTTATTAATTCAAGACATAACATGGCATTTGCACAGCAATTCAAGTTAAACAGCTTGAATAGCTGCACAATTAGATAGCTTGATTTATACCAGCATTCATGTTGCAGAGGACTACAATATGTACACTGGAAGGTTTAGTTCTTTTTCTGCCACATTTTTATCCTTCCTTCCCTGCCCTTTTTAGATATCCAAAGTTAGATTTAATTTCAGCACTCTTCTAGGCAGGAAAGTTAAGACCTTTGTAGATGGGTTACTGGCACTCAGACTTCAATAAAGTGCAACAAAGAGATGTTCCTCACTAATGTATCTATACCAAGTTTCCAAGATATTTGCTCTTGGAAATCGCTCTGTCGATGGCATTATAAAAGCACAGTATACCTTCTAATCATTTTTAAAGAAATATTTCAAGACACATCTACCTTTTTGATAAATAAGAACAGCTGTTCTAAGGAAAATTAAGCTGTAACTGGAATTAGTGTTCTTTTCTTGTATCTTATCAAACCTCTACCTTTTTTTTCATTGGTGTTCGTTGGAAAGCTTAAAAAACAACAACAAAAAAAACCCTCTAATGATAATTATTATCTTACACTGCCACTGTCTAAGCATATTATTTCTGCTAACACTCAGCCATTTTTACGAATCTGTAAGCCATCTGAGCAAAGGCAGAGGAAAAGAGTTATTTTATGATGTTCTACAGAAGCTGATTACATTTAATGTTAGAAGTATAATGTCGAAAGCAGAAAGCATAGTAAAAAAGCAGTACATAAGTCAGAACAATATCTGAGAGAAATGCAGCCAGTAATGTTAACAAACACTATTTCTGTGAAGAATTTTGCTTCGAGCATTTTACTTCCGAGAGCTCAAACAATATTTGCTAAAATGGTTCAGCCCATTTAAAAACTTCAATGTAGGAATCAATATTAGAGTTAATACAGATTTTTATTTCCCTAGCTATTTGGAGTTATATTGCTGGAATCTGCAGAAAGATGCTCACATGTTGATAAAGTCAAAATATTTTCAAGGTAATTTCACACCACATGTGGACACGAGGCAGTATAATAAGGGCACGTGGGAAAAGACCACCTCAAAGCACTCTTTTTCTACGTGCAGAAGAATACTTCAAAGGGGCACCCTGCATGCTCTAAACATACCTTCAAGCTGTGACAGCTAAGGGCCAAACCTGACTTCTAGCCTGCTTTAGTAGTGAGTTCTGTGGCTAAAATGGAGGTGAGCTTACAGGACTGTTAAAACCAAAACTCAAGAAAACTGTAGGACAGTTTATGTAGATTTTAGATTTTCCATGAAAATGCAGATTGCCATGAAACTTGTATTCCAACACATGATCAAACACATGCATGTCTGAACCATGTGTTTCAGTAAACTACCATTTAGCACCTGTATGTCAAACTTTTCTAATTATGTGCTATTAATGTGCAGGCTTTAAAAACAGTTGATTAAAAAATGTGCAGTAAACTGAAACTGTCAGTTCAATGGAAGTCAAATAAAAAAATAAATCCATTACCTGTTTTTTTTTTTTAGCATCTACACTTTCCTTTTAAAGATTTACTTTTCAATAGGCACCCATAGAATATTTCCTTGTTCTAATCATTTCAGTACTGCAGAGTGAGAATTCTTAAAAATGAACCCAATTTTAGACAAGGCTCTAGCATAAGAAGTTCAGTCTCTGCTTCTGAGTTGTTTGTGGGTTTTGTTTATTTTATTTTATTTAGTTAGTTTTTTAAAGAAGAAGCGGTAACTAAAATATAATGAGAGAGGAAACAACAAATTATTTCCTAATTCTTTGTTAACATAAAGTAGAGATAATGGTAAAGAACTTAAAATACAGCAAGGGAAAAAGTAGACTATTCATGTTTCTAGTCTTTGTTTTTCTAGTGTCATTTCAGAAGGCCTATTCATGCAATAGTCACGAGAAGCAGCGTTTTAATACCTTCATCTGACTCCAAACCAGAGGGGCTTTTCATCATGGCAGTCTCCACTTTTCTACGGTCCGTTTTGCTTTCAAGTTGTCCTTCATCTTTCTGCTCTCTTGTAGTGTCCTGCTTTTTGATTTGGTCCTTCTCCTTATACTTTTTCACCTTCTTCATGGACTTCTTGCACAACACCGCACCCTCCTCACCTGCAAGTGTGGGATGTTCCAATTTACTACCAGCAGGCGCTGGGGTTTCCAAAGGAGTCCGAGAGGTATATTTTTCTTGCTGGTGCTTGAAGACGCTACTGCCGCTTTGGCTGATGCTATCTACAGGCAGATCTTGCGTCCCACGCCCCTCAGGTGTGCTGGGGGAGATTGAGCTGGCAGTCTGGGGCGGATTGGAGGCAGGCGGGTGGGCGGCAGGCATGGATGGTGGGGCGGGTGCAAGGGTTGTCTTCTTGCTGGGGGCAGGTGGGGGTCCGCTCAAGGACGGCTGGATTCGACTGTTGAGGTGGGAGATCCTCGGCTTCTTGTTCATCAGGGGATCAATGAAGTTGAAATCCAAGAGCCGTTTCTGCAAAATAAAATGGAGTAGTAGCATTCATTTGAATGGAGAACCTCTAAAAACAAGCAGCTATTGAACACAGCCATCTAAAGAAGAGACGACAAAGAACAGGTTGAAAAAACAGTTCTGCTGCAGCTGCCACTTCAGCTGTTTTCTCCAGTTGAAACACAGGTTCATGCTTTCCTGAACAAGTCTGCTGTGCTTTTTCTTGATTTACAAAATGGCAGCACTTGAAAACTAAGCACTGGGCACAGCTCTGTGTCATCTAGTTGTAACACATAGAGGTCCACAGCACACACATTGTGTTGCTGTTTGAGAGGATGAAAATAGGGGAAGAATAGGTATGCCCTTCCTCCACTTTTTAAACTGAAGTATCTTAACAGCGTAAGACTCCAAGTACTTCACTGTTTATCATTGCACACAAGCTCTGGTGTACCTAAATTTCTTTGAATTTCAGTTATTATGAAAATAAAGTTTCAAAGAAAGTGTCATACTTTTCCTCAAAGGAATGCATTTCACATGGATTTTTTCAAGCCACTTCTGAAGAGTTTGTACTGTGCTTAAGTTTGAAAAGGCTGGGGAAGCCTGGACCCACTGATCCAGACCTCCCTTTTACCCTGCATCATACTGGGTGTTCAAAGATGGCAGCAAGAAAAAATACATACCTCCAAACAGCAGACTGCAACTGTAATTTCTGCTTATTCTAGCTTTCCTAAGCATTATATTTAAACAGCAACATAATTACGTTTGTGCATCTTTGATGCATTTTTACTGCCACATCACAAAGAAACTTGAACACATGCAATCACACAACAAAATATATATATACATTCATAGTTTTCAGAATGCCTTCCTACACACCAAGATAAACAAATCTAGGGGCAATACAAAACAACCTTAAGATTTTAATCAGAAGTACTTGATAATAATGGGTAGCCAACAAGTTTAGCCTCTACAGGTGAGCTAGCTCCTGCAAGGTCAATGTGCTATTGATAGACAGGTGCTATGCTAACATTTCAGCTCTTCAAACACTACAGGGATAGTCTCCAACCAATTTAGATATATTTACAAGATAGCATGTACATAGGAACTCTCTGTCTTTCCAAAGATTCCGAACATTCTGAAATACGAAGACTAAACATGGCAGCTTTTAGGCTATGTTATCATTAAGTCTTCAGGTCTTTGACAGTGCAACCATCTTAAAAAACAAAAAACAAAACAAACAAACGAAAAAGAAAAAAAAACATAAGCACCCATCTAGAAATAAATGCTTCAGTTTTTCATATGGCTAAGATAATACGAGTGCTCTGTATTACAGCTTTTATTCCAATATAAAAGCAAGTTAAACCTTAGTACATTATAAATAATTTTAAAAAGCCACAAAATACCTGGGAAGGAGAAGCTGATGCAGCATCTTTACTAGAAGTTACAGGAGATCCCAAATGACTGGTGCTGGTGGTACTCTGAGATGAATTTAGTTTTCTGTAAGGATTACCCACATTTCAGGTTACAAGGCAAAAGTATCCATGTCATAGTCCTTTCATTATTGGCAAAACACACAGTTTCTAAAACTGTTGTTTTCTTTCTCCTATAGCACCAACTATAGCTCCTATAGTGACCAACCTGCTTTGTTTTTGTTGCCCTCTTTTTTGAAGTTTTAATTAAAAAATTAAAGAATTAAAGTTTTTTTTTACTAGCATACATTAATCATATTATATGTTTTATATGTGGCCCATGACAATTCCTCTTTACTCAATGCAACCCAAGAAGTCTAATTAGACACCCACGTGAGAGAACAGAACTTACCTAGAAAGTATTAACTCCAATGTCTGTTTATCAACTTCATTGTATCCAGGCCAGTCTTTCTGAATGTCTTTAAATAAATAATCCTTCAGAGTATAAGAATTATCCTTGGGATTCAAGTTGGCTACCTAGACATTTACAAAGGGGAAAAAAAAAAGACAATTATACTTAAGTGTAAACCACAGTAGTAATGTACAGCTAAATCAACAACATAAACAAAATCAAGCACCAGTTTTTATAGCTGAAAGACAAAGTAATTCTCATGCTGATCCTCAGAAATGTGGTCAAATTTGGATACAAAAGTTTGGATGTAAAAAATCCCCAAAAGATGCAAGCTTCTATGAATTGTACTCTTCAGAAAAACTTTTCTATGCATCACATATCTCTGTCTTTAAATACAGCTACACCAGAATGAAATATGTAGAGAGACCTGAGCTGCTCCATTTCAGGATGACACCAGCAATCCCTGTGTTTGACAGTGCTGCATTGTGTTTGCAGAGCACAACAGTTCTTGGAAAATGCTTCTTTCACCACCTCAGTGACTGCAGGAGCAAGAGCAGCTTTATTTGCCATCACTTTTCTTGTAAATAGAATCAAGTTTCTTTCTCAACTGACTGCGCCACAAGAAACAATACCTTTCTATTGAAAAGGCTTACTTGATAATGATAAATACACTTATTCATTTAGTATAAATAGTAAGTTTTCATCCAATCCAGTAGTTTTAAGGCACACTGACTATTTACAGGTGGAAAAAAGGTAGCTGCGGTAATACTTATCAAGATCTATTTAGGAATCAAGATGTATAGCTAACAGAGTGAGGTAGAGATGCATTCTTTCCCTTGCAGGCAGAGAGCTGACTGTAGCAAGATGCTATCATGAGAAAGTCACGTCTCTGAAAATAAGTTGTTTTTTTTTTTAATCTTCCTTAAGAACAACACAAAGTATACTAAAAAAATTCAAGTTATCTCTAGCAAAATCACATGACTAGTGACATCCAAAGCACTGTTTCAGGCTTCCTACTCTGATACCTGCCCAAACTTCCAGAGAAAATCTCAAAGAAGAACAGTGTCAGTCCACTTGCCTCATACAAAATGCTCAATCACTTTGCACACACCACCACCACCACTTTGTGCTGCCTTGATCATTTTCTCTCCTGTAATGTTTACTATTAAAAGGTGTGAATGTTGATGCTCGAAGAAGGAGGATTTAAATGTGCTAGTGGGTTAAGCATACTTTATTTTTTGCTGTCTTTTCTGACACATTCTTGCACCTGAGTTTAATTTTATTGACAATGTGGATAAATACTGCTAATCTGCGTGTGTTTCTCCTCTGTTTAAAAACTCAAAGTAAACAAAACATGGTGAAGTTGTAAACTTTGTTAAAAACTGAATTAAAGCTGCATTCCAAGATAATGAAATATATGCATATGAGAACACAGTTTTGGTTCCTGACTTTAGGCTCCTAGAAAACTAATAATGAAGATAAAAAAAATGTCAACAAGGCTTTCTATGGTGTAGTGCTGCTAACTTGTTTATTTCTGAATGTAAACTAATACCTTTACTCAACTCATACCACATAATAGAAGGAGATTCCAAGAAAGTCTCTAAACATTGCCAGAAATAATGGAAAGGGAAATGATTGTCATATGTTCTTTTTTACTCTAGTAAGCCGAGCTTCAGAATCTTAAAATACAAAATTAATTATTTATGAAGTTGATTAAAATCATATATAAGAACATGGCTCTTTAAATTACACATCTTTGAGGTAAAAAAAACCATAACACCCTGTCATTGTTCTGGACAAACTAAACAATACTTAACTTATTTGAACAACCACTGTTTAAAATTCAGTGCAGGATTGACTAAAACTGCATAAATACTGAGTTACTCACTGTAGTGGTTTTCAAAACTATTCTAAATACACAGGAAATACTGCTACTTTACATACACAATACAGTCATCAGTCTGTGAGAACAGGTAGTATTAAAAATATTATATGCTATCTTAATGACCTTATCAGAATTATTTTGTTAAAAAAGTAGCAGTATGTGACACACTTGAATACAGAGCTTAGAAGTCTCATCTACATCATGCAACAGGCCTACTGGTGATTTTCATGAATATGATACAGAAATGCAATGGGAACCTAACTCAGTGGGGCACTGGAAAAGCCAGCACACAGGGAAAAAGCCTGCAAGAAAGACAAGGACAGAATCCATATGATAGCAAAGCAGGTTTGTTTGTTTGTTTTTTCCCAATAGAGACCACTGTCTCTCTCATTTACTGTTTGCTAAGACTGTCACATCCCAAGAAGAGGCACTGACCATATAGGCCATATAAAGGCCACCAACTACATGCGTGTGAAATAATAACTTAGTTCATTATTCGACTTTGCTCCACATACGGTTGGGGCAAGAAATATTAAGAAGAGCTACATCAAGCAATTGAGAGAAAGCATGGTCAGGTTCTCTTAATTACCTAGTTCAGCAGTTTCTTCTTAAACAGAGGGAGGAAAAAAGAAAAAGGCATTAGGAGCAACAAAGCTAAAAATAGTTAATTGCTGCTTGCCATCCCAGCAAAACAAAACTACCCCCCACATATCTTTTAATCTTTCCTTCCCTCACTTTGGCTTGCATTTTGAAGCACGTGTATAAAGTCAGTTGAAACACTTAAATGGTGAGAGGATTATTTAAGGTGTTTATTATTTTCTCATTTAAACATGGGAGTAACACATCCCAAAATTATGACTAAAAGAGTAGCAGGAGTAAAAAAAATGCTGGCAACCATGACCTCACCTGCTGCAGGATAGCTGTAAGGGAATTCCTGTCCTTCAGGTTGACACCATCTCTCTGCAAACGAGCAAGTAACTCTGGTTTCTTGTAGGTCTTCAATGCCAGTAAGTGAATCACTCTGTCTCTGTATGGTCGCTGAGAAACAGCATTGTTTGCATGAGTCCTCCGTATTGTATTTGCTGGGTTTATGGGTGTTGACCTCTTCCTTTCAGGCACAGGATCTGGAATGCTTTGTGGTGCTTTTCTTATCTGTACTCTTTTTCCTAAATTAAGGATTTAAAAAAAAAAAGTTATATGGGAGTTTGGGAGATGACAAGGAATTTGATTTTAAAGAGATTACTAGGCCAAATAATCTGCAAGAACTAGATTTGGTTAGCATTTTAAGATCCACTTGTAATACACAGAGTAAAGATGCATTAAGGTAGGAATTAAGAAATTACTCAATACAATAAAAATCAGGTAAATCAGTTATATTGTTAGGAAGACTTTGCTGGAATATTTATGTAAATGCTGATTTTATTATTTTTCCAGTTTATGATCTTAAGCACTGAATAAAATAAATCAGATTATTTTTGGAATAATACAGTTTGAAGAAAAGGCCTTCTATATAATTAAAGTGTTCATCATTAATGCCAACGGAGACCAAGTCTAAATAAATAATAGCACTGCTGCTTAAAGAGACTACCAACCTGATGTTCACTGCCTGACCTACTTATTTGAAAAAGAAAAGTTCTCCCTTCTTATTACATATGGCCATATACATGGCATCATGTTGGGCAGAAACAATACACAAAAAATCTAACTGTTCTTGGAACCATGACAAAGAAGTTTCAAAAGAAAGCCTGGAGAGCATTTTGGATCAAATTCTACAAAAACACATATTTCTCAACTGGAAGAACAATGCAAGTGCTTGCAAACAGTGAACCCAGAATGTTAAAGCAACAGCAGTCAACCATTAACTTGAGTTTCCCAGGAAAAGCTCTCAACTTCTCTACTACGTTTTTAAATAACATCTGCTACAGAACAGAAAACAAACAAAAATCCTGCAACATTCCATAAAATGTAATGGATGTGAGACAAACTATGCATTTTTCAGATGTTAACAATTCATGTTTGGTACATGAGGGAGGCAAGTGAGTATGTGTCATAAGAACTGAAGCTCTACCTCTCTTCCAACAGCAATGCTTGGAATTCAGGAAATTTCTGGAGTCACAGGAAAGAGAACAGCACATAGTTGTGTTTATATACTGCTATTCCCAAGAACAGTAAAAATTTATTGACATTTTGCAGAAAAGGCCAAATCACTATAATCTTTCAATCTCCAGGTTTTGCCTTTCTGGTTTTCAAGAACAAACCTAACCACAAAAAAGACAACTGACTATGCTTCTGGAGCAGCATGAACTTGCCAGTTGTGTATTAACAAATTTGATGTGTTGTGACAAGGTAAACACAGTTTAGATAAGCATCCCTGGCACTATGCATAGTGTACGTGGCGTTCAAGCAAGCACCTTAAGTTATGTCTCTGAATCACTTTGAAAAAATCAACTGAAAACATAACCACGTATTACCATGAGTGACAACCCCAGCTCCCAATCTGTGCTGTGTGAAGCATGCGGAAAGCCACCCTCCATACCTCAGCAGCAATGTAACCCTGTCCTGCCTTATCTTTGCCTATGCCACCCTCAAAGAGAAGCATCCCCAAACACCATCATTCTCCTGCTGCTCATCTTCAGATCCCGTTTATTTAACTTAAAAACATTCACTTGGAGCCTGTTTAAGCAACCACCACGAAGAACACAGATGATATCCATGTAAAATGGAGCTTCTCCAAGCAGAATGTTGTTGCAGAATACAGTGACGTGGCACATCTCACCTTGCAGCCTAGACAGTGCACATCCCAGTCCCAGCATTAACCCATTCCCAGCTCTGTTCCCACAACAGAGGCCATTTGATCTTCATTTTGCAATTCTAAGGAGAGACACAGGAGCATGCAGCTTGCCATGGGTGTCTATGTCAGCACAGTGACAAAGCCCAGCACATGATGGCTTTTTCTGCACAGGGACTCATGTGGCCTGTCTAGCTCACTGCCATGTCCAGCCCCAGCTGCGTGCTCACCGGCACTCTTATCTCCATTCTCCTTGGAGAAACAGTACTCAAAATGGTTTGTTCTGTGTAAAATGATGAAATCCACATGCAGATGACAGGGTTATTTTTTATGGAAAAAAAATATGGCTTTAGAATAACAATAGCTCATCCACGATAAAAGCATAAACAAAATCTGATAAGCATGTATGAAAAGCACATTATTTCGAAGCAAGTATTTGAATTTGTGTAAGAGATGTCCTTGATGTTATTTTTTCTTTTTAATTACTCTTACAAGTATTGGTTTAATACTGTATTCAAAGTTTTCTTACAGAACCAAAAACATTAGTTACTAAAACAGAGAAGGGTATGTGTGTGGGAAGATAAAACCCTGCACTTCAATGGTCAAAATTTTTACCAGCCAAGCAATAATAATAAGGAAGGAAGAGCTGGCAGGCTTTTCAGAGGAAAAATAAAGCCAGCCTTTAATGCAGCAACAGATTTTAAATCTGCAATATGATAGCGAGCCACCTAACACTGAGTCTTCTGAACACATAAACTCTGCTGACAGTATGATGAAAGGACCAATTACTAAATTTGAAAACTTACAGACATCTAGTAGAAAAGGAAATACAACCATACCTAAATATGGTCCACCAGGCTTAATAACCTTTGCACTTCGATTGCGTAATTCCTCTTCTGCTTGGGTCATGCGCTCTTTGGTCATCTGATAGGAATCATTTGTTGCACATACTGTAATTTTATTCTGTATAAGTCCCAGGCTACTCAGTTGTGAGGCTCCAGAACTATAAAAACATTGAGAAAAAATGAGCCCAAGCACTATTTCAAGTCTGGAAGTATGGTTGTATAAGAAACCTAAAAACCTGTTCTGTCAGGCAAAGAAAAATGTTTTTCAGTTCTCACCACTAGTAATATATGCTTCAAATCATTCTGCAAACCAAACATCGTTGTTTTATCAACGTTATCTGTCAATATATTTACAGTATTCTCATATAATCACATTCAAGAGGCAAGCTCAGGATAGTATGAGTTGCTACACAAAAAACTACTGTAAACTACTCAGATTAGAATGCAAACTAAAATAGACTGACATCCAAACTATATGCACTGTATGCCTGTAAGCAGGCATGCCCAACCCGCAGCCCACAGGCCGCATGATGCCCAGCACAGCTGGCAGTGTGCACCACCATGGAAGTGGCTCTTTATATGGAGCGGCCCCAGGCACGCACCCATTGCTCAGCAACAACCAAACTACTGGTGTGCTATTAACGCTGCGTCGACTGAAAGCAAGGCACAGGGAGGGCAGTGCTGACTCAAGGGATGGCAAATAACTGCTAAATACAGGGCTCTGAACAGTGAAGAATGCGCAGCTGTGCTTTCAGCTTTGGTAAAGGAGTTTGAGAATAGGGTTCAAGACTGCCGAAAAAGTCGTCATTTTCTGTGACTCCATTTTCAGTTGATATACCTACATTACCTGCAAATTTTCAAATGGAATGTATAGAGTTGCAATGAGACATTCAACTCAAAAATCTGATCGTGCCTCTTTATAAGATTTTCACATTTCCCCTCTTACATCCCCTGCTTCACAATCATACTTTATTCAGTGTCATTGCTTTTTGGCAGTATGTAGGTGAACAATATGTATGTGCAGTCAACAATAACTTGCAAGGATGAAGCACAGGAAGACTAAAATTTCATCAAAAAAAATCTCTACTGAACGTTTTGAGAGCTCACTGAGAACTGCAGCCCCTGCCACTGAACTTGGCTGATACCATCAGTTTCACAAAAATATTGTCAAATATCCCACTAGTTTTATAGTTTTGTTCCTCTCTGTTGCTTTTTTTTTTTAAGGTTTTAATAAATACATTAAAACTCTTTGTTATTTATATACTAACAATATTGTATATTTTACAAGAACTGTTATGAAAATAATACCTCCTATTTTATGATGTCAGAGGCAGGTGTTGGTGGACTTTCCTGCCAGCATCCCATTACATGTTGTTGCTGTGTGACAGATGGCAATAGAAGACCGGTCTGACAAAATGGCATCTGACATGGAAGTGCAGATGCAATAAAGGTGTGTTACTGAAAAAATGGTACCCACTGACATTCATCAGCACTTGCTGAATATTTACAGAGACCAAACAGTGAATGTGAGCACAGTGAGGCAGTGGGTGGTGTGTTTCAGCAGTGGCAACAGTGACAGTGGGTCACCTCTGCCAGTGCAGATTTTTATGAGTGCAGCACGCAGGCTCTTGTTAATCACTGGTGAAAAATGCACAGCTAATGGTGGTTACTGCATTGAAAAAGAGTGCCTAGTAGTTGAGAATTTGCTCTATCAAATAGCATTCTTGTGCTCTTTGTATCTATTGAGTTTCCATGGAAATAAATAGGAGGCATTATTTTGGAGTAACATATAAATGTAGCCCAGTACAATTCCTTTTCACTCAGTGTGGCCTAGGTAAGAAAAAGTTGGACCTTCTCAAGTCATGCTCAGCAATTAGTTAAATACACATTTGAAAGTCACCTGCTTCTTCTGCCTGTCAAAGGCAGAGGTCTTGCCCATCACTGTCTGAGGTCTTGCCCATCACTGTTTATGTACCTCTAAGGTTCAGGAGACGTAAGCCAGACTTTCCCTAAAGCTTGCATGCTATTTACTATCCTGAACCGTCTCAGGATCCTCTGCTGACTCATTGTTTGATAGCAACCTGCAGCACTTGCGGTTTAACTATCTGCTTCTCTGGGGGTGTGTATTTAAATAAGGGACACAGACCAAAGCCCCACGCAACAGGAAAGAATGCAAGACCAGATATGGTGTCTCCTCAGCAAAGTTCAGGCGGGCATCGGGTTTCTGAAGAAGCACAGTCCTCTAGGATTTCTGCCTTGTATTCACAGCAGCTGCAGACATCAGCAGTGGCTCATGGACAAAGGTGTCAGCAGTTCCAAACTAAGTGAAGAGGGAGATTTTCCCCAGAACTGCTTCCTCATTTCTCCTGGATAAGTTTAAATGCATTTTTACAGTGTAATACATTCAGCCAGATGAGCACACATGTAGCCTAGATATCCTATATAGCCTAATAGCAACTTAATTTAGCCTGGTTTAGTGATTATGGCTGTTAACATTTATTTTGTGCAGCACTCACCTCAGCAACACCTCCAAACAGAGAAAGGATGCCAGGCTGCACTAGCCCAGAACATTCTGGACAACCCTAAAGATGATTTGAATCACCTAGTAAAGGTTCCATAAAGAAAGGCTGAGGAACATTTGGCAATTTGTTTCTTAATTTACCAAGTTGTTTCTGAAAGTCACAAAGGTTTGGCATCTAGTTTCTTAACTTACCAAGTTGTTTCTGAAAGTCACAAAGGTAGACCAAGCCGAGTCACTGCACAGTATTTCAAAATACAGCTACAATTTTGTCCAACCAAAGCCCAGAGCTGTATTTTTGGCATTATTTCTTGCTCCAAAATCACAGCATTTACAAAAGAAAATAGTTCTTGCCATGTAGAGCATAGATTCTATCTACTGCATATTTCCTTGACATTGCTGTCTTTATGCACCATAGGAACTGAACAGTTCAAGAAGGACCATCACCAACACCAAAGCACCATGCACTGATCAGCAGCACGTGGTATGCTAACCATGTAGGACTGCAGTGGCCTGACTTGAAGTCAAGTGTGTGGCAGGCCTAGAGAATGGTACAGCTCCCAGACCAGCTCTAAAATATTCCAGAGACAGAACAGATTGAACAGAACTCAAAACAGGCTTACACCATGGGAGCTTCTGAGCACTGATCAAGGGCACTGCCCAATCTACTACAGAATAGATTGCAAAACTTAAGCCAGTTTTGAAGCCAGACTCACCTTCAGCAGGAAACCAAATACTCTCCAGAGGTTCCTTATGAATTATTTTTTAAAATGATTCTGCATAAAATATTTGAACAGACCAAGAGCCTGACTACAAAGGAACTGGTAAAAGCTTATCTGAATTAGATTTTGCAGAGCCACGTTCAAACTATATTGGCATATTATTCAGAATTATTTCTAACTAAAAGTTTTTAAATTTAGTCTTACTTATAAAATGAATTCAGTTTAGTTTAACTGAACCTGCTCCTTCCCAAGCAACAAAGAGCCCAAAGAGAGACTTGGTGAAACACTGGAGTCAGTCTTGAGAACCCCTGTACATTGCCTAAAGAAGGAGCCTGATGCAGTATCTCTCAGAGAAAAGATTTTTATGAGTCCTCCACAATGGCTCTCCTGAAGGTCTCTTAAAGATTTTCTAATTGGGAGCTGGCAGCAGCCTCGGTACACCAGCAGCTGCAGTATGTGTGCAGAGCTTTCAATCAGACAAAAGAAAGAAGAAGCAAGACCTCTCAACCCAACATGCACTCCTGTAGGCTTACTTTGTGCCTCAGCAGCTGTCTGACCCCTTTCAGACACAAGTTAAACAAAAAAGAAACAACAAAACACACCACTCCAAGCTTGAAACCACTAAACCATTCAGCTTTTAGTGGTTCCATCAGTTACATAAGTTCACAGAAAAGCTGCATTGTTGTAGAAGAAAACTAACACAGAGAAGGAAGATGTTTAGAGATCTTCTGTCAGGCAGAGAGCTATTCAATCAGCTCGTTTTCATACTGCTGGCAAAATTCTCTATGTAAACAAATCCCATGTTTTCAGAGTAAGGGAAGATGCTTTTCTATGACCACAAACATGATTAGCACCTTTCTGAGACACGCTTGAGTAGCAGTTTGCTAGCAGCTTCCAATGTGATTACATGAAATCTGCCTGCAGCTTCCTAATAAACAAGATGGACAATTGTTCACATCAATGCTACACTAAGCGCATTATTCTAGGGGCTGAGGCAAACTTGACATAGAAAGATGGTATTTTCTTGGCCATTAGTTAGACATTAACACTTTTTACTTTGACTGAAATGAATCAGGACAAAGTGCTTCTGTACTGCGTTTGGGCTCTGAAGTGCAGCAGTCATGCAGTTATGGGTAAGGTCACTGATTTATGTGGTTCTTAAAGTCAGACAACTATCCATTATGGCCATCCTACAAGCATGCTGCCAGTTACATTTACATATGGTTGGAGAATGGACTTGTTCTAGCTTGAATGATACGGAACTCCAAATGCTTTTAAAAATAGCACGAAGAGGTGAAAAATTACTCAAAGCTTCTTCTTTTTAAAGCAAAACCAAAATAACTATGTAAAAGGTAGTATTTATAATGAACAAAAAATTGTGCTACTGCTAGAATTTTTTTTTTTTTTTTTTTTAACTGCAGCTCATCACTAAGAGCATGCATCTGTTAAAGATTTTTGCTACATGCTCAAAGCCACAGAATCTGCTTAGATTTGCCATGAAAGAAAATGTTAAGTAAAACTTACCTTGAGGCAGTTTGCTGGACACAGTCAAAGCTTCCCTGAGGGTTATCTTTGCCAACATTTGACAAGTAGAAGTTAAATGTATGCGATTCATTTGGGTGATCAACTTTGGGAATTTTAATAAGCTAAAAGGAAAAGAAAATGTTTATGTAAGGACTTCCATCTAAATTCCTTTGCTTGTCATTAGCTACAATACAAGAGTCTTCTTAGAATTTACTTCTAAAAGAGAAAATGTTTCAATTTCAAAAGTTTTAGCATGTTTTCAGTAACATCACCAAAAGTCTGATCTGGCATAACTCTACCTCTGAAAACAGCACCAGCTATATGCAGCAATTGTATTTGTACCAGAAGAGCTACAGTCACTGAGCATCCAATTCAGCAAAGCAATCAAGTATGAAGTGATCTCTTCTGATTTAGTGGAATTAATATGCATGTGCTTAACTTTACATGCAAGTGTCTGAGTACAGTTAAACAGACTGAAGACCAACTAACGCAACAGAGCAAAACAACGTGCACAGACCAACTTTGTGATTTATGCAGTCCTAACGAAGCATGTACTGGAGTCAGATACAAGAAGAAACAACAACACCCAAACTGCAAGACTAAAGTTTCTTAAATTATCAAACATGAACAACTTCAACAGATAATAAAAGCCTTTTTGCTTTGCTTAGCTCTGGATTCAGTTATTTGCATAAATGTGACATGTAAATAGTTTTTGGTACATTTAGTCAGAAACAACAAAATTTGATTTCCTTGGCTGAGCTAATTATTTAGTAAAGAATGTGCCACATTCTGCTGGAGCTGAAAAATGTAAATATGGGAAATTGCTTACAGATTTTTCTATGCGCAGTTTTATAAAAGAAGCCCTTAAGCATGCACACACAAAAGACTGCCATTCAAACACCTTACTCTGAAGGTAAAATTAGCTTGCATAAAATCGAATAAGCTGTTCTGAAATTTGCTTGTTCTGAATTTTTAATGGAATTTTTAATAATCAAATCATAAACAAGAAAAGTTTTGAAAAACAATATTCAACAGTCTTAGAAATCTTTCTCTTATCACTTTGCTTATGAAATTGTCCAGTCTTCATAAAAGTCAAGATCATTCACACAAAGTACTGATAATTGAGTCTTTCAGTTTTATATTTTAATCATCAGTACTGGCAGAGCTTAGCAACAGCTTGTTGCAGTGGCTGGACATGGAGAAAGACAAGGCATCTGAACGCTGTATTCTTTTACTCAAGATCTAAAGTAGTGTTCTCAAAAGAGCAATGTAGGCATTTGAAATAAGAGATAAAACAAGATACCAGATGCATAATGTTGGATTATATATGCAGCTTTACCTTGTGACTGTTAAGAAGATTACTACAGAGTAACCATCAACCTTAAAAGATCATAGGGACACAGATGACACTAAAATTCTACATTCTATAAAATTATCACAGACAGAATGTTTCAATTTACTGATTTTATGATACACAGCAGGTGTGTATGCATGGATTTGACAGCACCATATGTAGTGGATTGGGGATTCAATCCATTGTAGAAGACATGATATGTTTTTAGCCTGATGTAGTTTTTGGAAAAATGGTAAATATGTAATATAATTGGCCAAAGGCTGCCCATCTCAAATTGCAGTCCAACAGAAGCAGGTAATTGTTGCTGCATATGCTTGCACTTCATTCTCAAAATGTTGGGGCAAATCTTTATTTTCTATTCATCAGCTAAAAGAATCTATATGCATGCAATGGCTCTAAAAGGTAATACCTACATCAGAATATCTGCACCTCAAAGTTTAGAAGAATACGTTTTAAAAGATTTTTGTTGCTGCTCCACTCCCTTCAGCAAAGTATCATTTATTCTAGATGTTGAGAAAGACCTATGTCTTTCCTAGGTTTGAAGAAAAAATAAATGTCTCCCTGCAGATAGAAATATACGAAGGACATCACCATTTGAGTTTGCTGAAATTGAAACCTGAATCTTCTTAAGGCTTCCTCTCATTCCCTCCTACCCACTTTTGTAAGAAAGTCATTGATGATGGCTTTCTAATTTAATCAGGAGGGCTTTAAACTGGACTTGCTGGGGGTGGGGATCCTCAAATAACTGCACTTTGAGGCTGACAATGGTAATGGATGCCTTGGGCCTGGAGTAGGATCATAGGCCAGTAAGACAGCACCTAAAGTTCAGGATAAGGGAACTCTAATTGGTAAATCAGCCTCAATGGGAGCCCAAATCAAGCGCCTGTACAGCAATGAGTGGAGCATGGGGAACAAGCAGGAGGAGTTGCAGGCATGTGCATCCCTATAGGGCTATGATGTCAGTGACATTACTGAGATGTGGTGGGATGACTCTTATGACTGGAATGTAGGAATAAATGGGCATAAGCTATTTAGGAAAGACAGGCAGGGAAGAAGGTGAGGAGGTGTTTCCCTCTATATCAGTGACTACCTGGAGTCCATGGAGCCCTACCTGGGGATAGACAATGAGCCTGACAGATAGCTTATGAGTTAGGGTTAAAGGGAAGGCAGGGAAGGAGACATCATAAAGGCTGCCTGATCGGGAAGACCAAGTGGATGAGGCTCTCTATAAACAGATAGGAGCAGCTTCATGCTCACAAAACATGGTTCTCATGGGGGATTTCAACAACCCTGATATCTGTTAGAGGGACAACACAGCAGCGCACCCAAAATCAAAGAGGTTCCTGGAACTGATGATAACTTCCTCTTCCAAATAGTATAGGAACCCACAAGAAAAGGCATTATGATGGACCTTGTCCTCACCAACAAGGAAGAACTGGTGAGTAACATAAAGCCCGAGGGCTGCCTTAGCAGTACTGACCATGAAATGGTGGAGTTCAAAATCCCAGGGTGACAAAGAGGGTGTGCAGAAAGCTTGCAACTCTGGACTTCAAGAGAGCAGAACTTGGAACTCTTCAAGGAACTGTTTGGCAGAGTGATATGAGAGAAAAGCTCTGGAGTGAATAGGAGCCCAAGAAAGCTGGTTGGTATTCAAAGTACCATTTCCTCCAAGCCCAGAAGCAGCGTATCCTGAGAAAAAGAAAGGCAAACAAGAATCTTTGGATCAACAAGGAGCTCCTGGACTTAATTAAGCTCAAAAAGAAAGTCTACAGGCAGCGAAAGCAGGAACAGGTTACCTGGGAGGACTACAAAGAAGCTGTCTGAGCAGTCAGGGATCAGGTTAAGAAAGTAAAATCTAGACAGAATTGAATCTAACCATGGACATAAAGGAGAACAAGAAGAAATGCTACAGTTTTGGTTTTTTTTTTAACCAGTGATTAGAAGAAGGTAGATCATCCTGAAGGCTCTAGTAAGGCAATGGAAAATAAAGATGAGGTGGCTGGTGGTAACCAACATGGCTTCACCAAGGGCAAGTAATGCCTGACAAACTTGGTGGCCTTTTATGATGGAGTTTCAGAGTCAGTAGATAAAAGAGCAACAGACATCATCTACCTGGACTTGTGCAAAGCATTTGACACTGTCTCACATGACATCCTGGTCACCAAAATGGAAAAAAAAATAGATTTGATGGATGGATCACTTGTTGGAAAAGGATCTGGCTGGATGGTTGCACACAGAGAGTTGTGGTCAGTGTCTAAATGCCCAAGTGAAGACCACTGATGAGTGGCATTTCTCAGGGATCGGTGTTGGGACTGGTGACATTTAAGTTCTTTGCAGGCAACGTGGACAGTGTGATCGAGTGAACCCTCAGCAAGTTTGCAGAGGACATCAAACAGAGTGGTGCAGTTGACAAGCTAGAGGGAAGGGATGCCATCCAGAGACACCTAAACAGGCTTCAGAGGTGGGCTCATGCTAACCTCATGAAGTTCAACAAGGCCAAGTGCAAGGTCCTGCATCTGGGCCAGGGCAATTTTAAGTGCAGATACAGCGTGGGTAGAGAATGGCTTGAGAGCAGCCATTCTGAGGAGAATGGATTTGGGGATGATGAAAGATGTGACAAGACCTGGCAAAGCGTGCTTGCAGACCAGCAGGCCAACTGTATCCTGAGTTGAATTGAGAGAAGTATGACTAGCAGGAGGTGATTCTACCCCTCTACTTTGCTCTTGTGAGACTCTACCTGGAGTACTGTGTTCAGTTCTGGAGCGCCTAATAAAAAAAGGACATGAAGTTGTTGGAGCAGGTCCAGAGGAGGGCCTCAGAGATAATCGGAGGGCTAGAGAACCTCCCCTCAGAGGACAGGCTGAGAGATCTAGGGCTTTACAGCCTTCAGAAGAAGAAGCTCCAAGGAGACCTTGTTGCGGCCTTCCAGTACCTGAAAAGGACCTACAGGAAAGTTGTGGAGGGACTTTTTCTAAGGGCGGGTAGTGACAGGACAACGGGAAATGGTTTTAAACTGGAAAAAGGTAGATTAGGCTCAATATTAGGAAGAAGAAGATATTAGAGTGATGAGACTCTGAAACAAGTCACCCAGTGAGGTTGTCAGTGTCCCCTCCCTCGAAGCATTGAAGGCCAGGCTGGATGGGTCTCTGAGCAACCAGTCTAAGAGGTATCCCTGATTAAAGCGGGGGGCTAGATGATCTGAAAGGTCCCTTCCAACCCAAACCAGTCTATGATTCTATGATGATGAGGGAATCAACTGCTGTCACTGACGTGGCAGGTTTCTTCTCATAAGCAAGTAAAATATCTAGAGATTTACTTTCCTCCTCCATTTTCATGATACATTCTTCAGAAACTTTGCAAGAATCAAAGAATCATTAATCAGGCACTCACTAATTTGGATGAAATGGAAGCAAGAATTTTTGAGGAATTTTTATGCTTGAAGACTTCAAAAAAGGCAGATAACCAATCTGAGAATAAAAAAATATTTTTTTATCTTTAATTCCAAAACATTATTTAATTTGTAATAAAGCAGATGCAAGATTCTCATTTTTGTGATTTTTTTTTTTTCTGTAAAGTTCTTACCAGTTAGAAATCACTTTTAAAGACCTCAAAATAACAATAGTCAATGGGTGACAGCGGTTGCTAATTCAGCTTGACATGGTGTTTCTTGCAAAGGGTAGCTAAGCCAGTAAACTGAAGGACTCAGCAGATGCTGCAACAGCGTTTGAAAAGAACCCTTTCAGAGTATCCACACGTAAAAAGCTTTGT